ATAGTCAGAAACAAATTGTAAGATTCACTGTCATTTTCCCCAACGAGAAACGTTTGCTTTTCGTTTGTGACAATTGTACCATAGGGTACGTTTTATATGTATGCCAACGTTTCAATTACGTGAAAAATATTTTTTTCTGCAAATTTTCATATCCAATTCAATTAAAAAACGTGTACTACATACATACATATATTTTTCTCTGCACGATTCATTTCGTTTGTTGTTTCGTCTGTAACTACTAAACTACTGTAGCGTACTATCGCAAAGTGAACTCAGCCGTATTGTTTTCGTATTGTACCGAACTGTTAAAGTAATAAACGAAACGAAATAGTAACGTACAATATAGTTTATTTTCGTACACTGCTTAGAAGATATCACCAATGCATCGCATATACCAAACGAAAGGAAAAAGCTTGAATTTTTGATTAAGGAAAACAAAAACAAAATCATTCGTGCGGGTTTTGATAATTTTGGAATTTAAAAACATTTGCTAATGTTTTCAAAAATTTTTGCCTTAAAATGCTCGATATTTGATAATATTTCTACTGCTCGGAAGAAACTACATATATGCCGAAAATGAAATTTATATCTGCAATTTATAAATTGCTAGAGCACTTTAAATGCTCAAAATTTCCCCAAAATAAGCTAATATTTACCGTTGTTTCTACGACAGACACCGAGTCGGTTACTTACAGAAATCTATCTGTCGATAGGTTTGGACTTTTGTCTTTAAAACGCCACACTTTCCTTTGAAATCGCTTGAGTAGTTCTTGTGCAATAAGCGTTTTCGTGAAGCTCTAAAAATTACAAGTACAACATTTGAGCACAGCCTCCATTTGTCTCCTAATATAACAAGAAAGATTTGTAATTAACTTTTGACAATTACCGCATCGGTGCTACTGGCACTGACGCACAAATGGACCAATGTAGATATGCATATGCAAGAAGTGGTCGTAATTTGTTGAAACTTTACTCCTACAAGGATTACTCGATGGTAGACAACCATTAAATGGAAAAGGGGTACACAAATATTATTTTATTTGCATATATTTTATTGAACGGACTTAAAATCTATAAAAATACCATTTTTCATTTATAATATAATAATAGTTCATTTCCATCAAGCCTTAACCCCAAATTATGCCTATTGTATAGGAAGATTACAACTTTAAGGGGGTAATTGATCACGTTAAGTAGAAGAAAACAAAAGTAAAAAGGCAAAAAGATAAGAAATAAACCCTGCCCTGCACCTCATGTGAAAATTCTTGAAACTTACCTGACCTCTTAACTGACGTTAAGCTTTTGGAGGAAATAAGCAATTGGAAGGGGCTATCACAGAATCCTTCGTTGTCCGATTTTTCATGAAATCTACGAAAATGCGATCACTGAATCCGAGTATCTACGAACGGGTGCATTCAAAGTATATGCTAAGTTCGAAGCTATTCGAATTCAGTGATAACATTTTCGTAGATAACACGAGAAATCGGAGTACGATTTAAAATAAAACTAAGTTTAAGTGTATTCATTTATTTTTATCAAACTTATAAAAAAGTTTCACGACAACAATTTCCTTTTCGCAGGTTGACGTGAATGGAAAACGAACTTCTTTATATTTATGAGTGTAAAGGAAAATACGATCGATGGTTTCAAAAAACCATCGATAGTGGCTAAAGCATTGGCCCCATCGATAGCATCCATGGTTCCATCGATAGTTTTGCAGCACTACCGCCCACCAACTTTAAAAAACCAAGGTTTTTAGTACCGGTCATGAATTGTGAGGAAAGCGGAGTGATCACGCCCAAAAAATGAGATATCAAATGAAGGGGCTTGACCTCTAGATTTTACAATAGTTTTTTTTTTTTTTTTGTCACATCAACATATATACATATGTAGCTTTTCTTCACTCAAATGATAATAATTATAACTACTTAGTTCAATAATACTAACTAAAAAAATAGTGGCCATTTTACAGAGAATTTTAATTAAGAAAGATATGTTCCAGCATTAAAAAATAATTCACAAAATAAATACTCGAAGAATTTATTTATTATTATGTAAATATTCGAAACACTTTTGAATAGTTAAAACTATAGCTTATACATATTTCGGTACAAAAAAAACAGTGAGTGGCAAACGTGACTACCGCTCCTGTGCAGTTAAATCATAATGTCGCAGTGTTGCTGCCATTGCAACTAACAATGGCGATAGCAATTAATCAGTCAGGAAAAGGTGATTAGCATCACGGGAACACTTCACGCGCGGCCGTATGTGGCACAATTAAGTTAATGGAGTTAGTAAAACAAATTTGTTTCGTTAAGTAACGCCCATTCGCAAGACATGCTCGCTTAGACGACGTATACCAGTTTGATAGCTTCGTGGGTATTGCAAGTAAGTCATGTACACACTCAGTAATAATCACTTATCAAAAATATGCATAAATATTTACATATTTTTTTATAGAAAATAAATTAAAAATTCTACAATTGGACAAAGTAAAGTTAAAAGCATTTACGTACTTTATGTATGTATGTACATATGTACATATATATGTATTTGCAAAAAAAATGAAACTGCGAAAGTCTGCGATCAACAGCCAGCAGCCGGTACAGCTGGACAACTTTACTTTGTTGCACCTGCGCCTATATCAGCTGCTTGGACTGTGCACAGTGCCATTGCAATTGAAATGCGACCCCGCCGAGTTCAGCCAACACCCACAGCGTGTTAGCACGCGCCAACTTCGATTCCTAGTTATTTGGCATTGTTTGCATTTTGTATTCTTCTTTTTGCTCCACTTGTGGACAAGCACTAATCACGATTCGATACTCTACAATAGCGACAGCTTTGGAAAATTCAATGATTTCCTCAAATTGACTGCCACGATTACTTCACACTTTGTTTTACTCAGTGAAACAATACTACAGCGAAAACATATGCAAAAGTTCCTTGCCCTATACACTGAAGTTCATAGAAAGTGGAGTTTAGGCACTTATCGCGCCGAATGTGCCATTTATCGTACCACTCTTTCGAAAAGTATCTTCTACTTCGCCATTTATGTCATTATTATCATTAACTACATTCAGTCAATCAGCAAGAATCGTCAGTGGTTGTCCTTTTTCATACCCTTTGTGCCGAGTGGCCTGATATGTCAAATGCGTTCAGTGCAAATTATGCATTTTGTGGATATGTTGCGCACCGAAGTGGATCAGTTGAACAGGAATGTAGAGCGCTTGGCAATGTTAAGTAGGCGCAGTTGCCAAGCGAATTCCGCAACCACTGGTAAGAGGCACCACAATGAGCAGGTGATGTGTTCTGAGTTGCAGACGTTTATGGAATACTATCAAAATATTTACGAAATGAGTATTTTACTCAAGAGGACTGTGGGTGCATCCATCGCTTGTAACTATGTTAAGGAATATGTTATGATTTTGTCCGAATGCTACTGGTCCTACTGGATGGTATACAACGGCCAGGACGTCATTGGTAAGAATTTTATAGCTACTAGGAATGTTAATCCCGGGATCCCGGACTTTCTAAGGTCTCGAAAATCCCGGGATTCTTGGCAAGTAATCCCGGGACTTTCGGTATTTGTAATTTGCACTGATGGCAATAATAGAAACTCCTTTTCTTGACCAGTATTGGCTATATTTATTTTTTTATTTAATAATTAATATTTTTTTATAAATGTCTAGCTTATTATACATACATATAACACCGCGCGATAGTAAATTTTAAACACAAATATCAATATATTCGCGAAACCCTGGGCCAAGTATAGTAAAATTCCGTTTTTAGTTTTTCACTCTGACGTCAGTAATTCAAAAATGGTTTAAAAAATTCATAGAAATGTGCTTAGAGAAGAAGTATGGGTATAAAGTTAATGAGGAAATCCTGTAGAATTTAAACAGATTCAAGTTTCTGGTGCAGAAGGGCTGTTAAATAATGAAAATATAATTTAAAAATTTTATCCTTGAAATTTCGCAATGAGTCAAACTTTCTGAAACGGGCCACTAAAAAGTAAGTAGTAGAATTTCAAATATGTTTTGGCAGATATTCAAAGGTCAAAATTAGTGTCTTAAAATATTTTTTGATAATTGAAATTTTTCAAAAATTTATTCATATGTGAACTTTTGACCGTCTTTTCGTCAATTTTATATTTTAATTGCTATATTTCCGTAAATATTCAGTGAAAACTAACCAAATTTTATTGACGTATTCAGAAAAAGTAGCAGAATCGAAAAAAATATTTTATTTATCAATATTATTAAATAATAATTAATTTGGCAAAAAACAATTGACAATTTAACTGACTTCTCCTTGTGTTAAACAAAAAAATTTACAATCTTATTCTGTAAAGCATACACTAACCATTCGTGCAAAAATATTTTAGTGCACTCTATCCGATAAAAAAGTACGACTGTTTAAACATCACCGTGGATACGCGAAACCACTACCGACGTTGAAACGCAGCGCCGATAAACCTTGCGCTCGTTCGTCATTGGATGCTTACCTTTTTATCAAACCAAGTATCTTATGAATGATTGGTACTTTATGAATGATAAATTTTTTAATTAAGTACGTCTACTAATTTTGTTATTTATGTAATTACAACGTTGATTTTTATTTTATTTTTACAATTACATGTTCTGAGTGGCTTGGAAAAATCTTACATTCTAAACAATTTGAATCAGAGGGTTTGTAGCAATGAAACTGGCGTGTTCCCTTGATGGTTTCCGCTGTAGCAAAACGTTTCTCCAACATCTTCTCATGTTTTTTATATTCAGCTAAGGTGCAAAAATCAAAATCAACTTTCTTGAAAAACTCGCGCGCCCATTCCAACAATTTTTGTGTTGAAAGAATAGTTTTATCCTGTAGACTAGCGCGGTATGCATTCTTTTTTAACGCAGCCATCAATTCCATCGCAAGCTCCTTTTCCGTGGGCAGTGGCAAAGAAGTGCCATTCTGCTTTAATATTTAAGCCCTTCTCGTGGTGTAAAAGATTTACAAAATTAAATCTGCTTTTATATTGGGACCCTGCTCCATCGGAATAATAAAATAACTTTTTTTTACGTTTCGCACGCCAAGAAGGAGTGCATTAATAAAATTCGGTGTGCAGTGAACAGCAGCAGTGTGTTCCATGTTAGTAATTTTGTGTAAGTACGCCGTGATACTAGTATCAACTATTATTTTATAAACATCATTTCAAATCATTTATCACACCTCTAGTCTGTACTCAAGATTCTGACATTTCAATAATTACACAGGTCTGCAAAAAAATGGGTTCGGAATGTTCTATAAAAGTGTAGTGTCATTTCCGAAGTAATTTTTTGCGTAGAATCCGAATCCGGGGTTTAAATTGCGCGGCCGTTCGTCGTTGCATGCTTACGTTTTTAAAAGCATAGGTCTCTTATTATTATTACATATGTTAACACTTCTTACGATTAATTCTTTATATTAATAACACAGGTCAACAACGTTTTGTTCTAGGAAAGTGTAGGGTCATTTTCGAAGTAATTTTTTGCGTAGAATCCGAATCCGGGGTTTAAATTGCTCTATCACGGCAGGACTTTGAGATATCCTAACCTAAAAGTGCAAAAAACGCTGTTTTTGCCCATTTTTGAGGTTATGTAGCTACGAAGATTTTGCTCTTCATAAAAAAGTAGACGTGGTATTTTAAAGTATAAGTCTTCCTCTTTTATATGCCGTTGAGTTTGCTCAAATATCTTAATTTTTCACTGAGATATCGCATTTTGAAGTCTCCATGTTTGTGAATGTAATCGACCGTATCACGTCTCATGTTATCTCAATGGATTTTCGAATATCGAAAAATTCACAAACATGGAAACTTCAAAATGCGATATCTCAGTGAAAAATAAAGATATTTAAGCAAACTCAACGGCATTTAAGAGAGGAAGACTTATACTTTAAAATACCACGACTGCGTAGCTACATAACCTCAAAAATGGGCAAAAACAGCGTTTTTGCACTTTTAGGTTAGGATATCTCAAAATCCTGACGTGATAGAGCAATTTAAACCCCGGATTCGGATTCTACGCAAAAAATTACTTCGAAAATGACCCTACACTTTCCTAGAACAAAACGTTGTTGACCTGTGTTATTAATATAAAGAATTAATCGTAAGAAGTGTTAACATATGTAATAATAATAAGAGACCTATGCTTTTAAAAACGTAAGCATGCAACGACGAACGGCCGCGTGGTGTATCAGCGCTGCGTTTCAACTTCGGTAGTGGGTTCGCGTATCCACGGTGATGTTTAAACAGTCTTACTTTTTTATCGGATAGAGTGCACTAAAATATTTTTGCACGAATGGTTAGTGTATGCTTTATAGAATAAGATCGTAAATTTTTTTTGTTTAACACAAGGAGAAGTCAGTTAAATCTTCAATTGTTTATTGCAAAATTAATTATTATTTAATAATATTAATAAATAAAGTTTTTCCAATATGAATATTTTTATCGATTCTGCTACCTTTTCTGAATAAGTCAATAAAATTTGGTTAGTTTTCATTTAATATATATGGAAATATGCAATTAAAATAGAAAATTGATGAAAAGGAGGTCAAAAATTCACATATGAATAAATTTTTGAAAAATTGAAATTTTCAAAAAATATTTTAAGATATTAACTTTCACACATAGACCTTTGAATATCTGCCAAAACATATTTGAAATTCTACTACTTACTTTTTAGTGGGCCGTTTCAGAAAGATTGACTCAATTTTTGGTTTTTGA